AAGTTCTGGCAAACTTTATTTTTTCCGGCTTTAGCGACTTACTTTTTTGCGTCATCCTCCTCCGAAGCCCCCACAAGGGCGGCCGTTAAAACAGCCCGTGCTATGAATAATGTTTCGAGGGGGGGTCGCTCTTCAACGTAATTACGGATAAGCCTGCGCACTGTCGCCACGTCATTGCCGCCGCCCAGCAATCCAAAGCGTATCACTTCGCGGATGTCATTTGTTATCCATTCCCCGGAATTCAACCTGTTTAAAATGACATAAGGCCCGGCACTCAAAGACAAGGTCTGGCTCCGATGTCACATCCTGTTCGTCAAAATAAATATAGACGATTGCATAGGCAAGGCCTGCACCGGCATGGTTTGTGCTCCATCGTCCGCCGGTCCTGTTGACAAGATAAGGATCTGCAACAGATGTCATGCTGCCGGTGTAGAGTTTGATACGGATGAAGCGGGTTTTCACAGAGTACACTCCTGACCTCGTCCACCTCCAAATCAGCTTGTCCTCAGGAAACCTCCAACTCAGAGGTATTTTTAGGATATTGGTAGCTTGTTCATGTTAAAGAAAAAAAATGCACCAGTGCTGCCCGCCATTCCCCCAAGTCTCTATCAATTAATTCTTCAACACGAGCCTCCAAACCCAACGGGCCCGATGGAATCCCACCAAGACCTGAATTAGTAGCCGGTATCCAATGATCATGCCAGACCCGAATTGTTCTGCCGTCACCAACTCGCCAGAAGACACCCTCACGAAGTATCGAGCGAGCCCCCCAAATACTCCTAATGCATAACTGGGGTTATATCCCCTCTGAGCAGTCCAGAAATCTCCACGAGGATAGTAGCGGCTCCTCATGACCTGGGCAACCAAGGAATCGGGCGACATCACCAATCTCCAGCATTGCTTTGTAAGTAAAGCATCATTGAACGGTCCGAGTCTTCGAAAACCAAGACCGCCTAATTCGACGTTTTTCCTACTTAATCTTTTTTATAGAAATAGCACTCGATCAAAGGGGAGCATAAGCAAGTTCAGTGGTTGAAACCTCTGTAATCGATCGATGGGAACCTCGAAGCTGTCTGGGGCAGGAGCAAACTCATATTAGGCACTGCCGCAGCATTAATGGTACAAGGAAGAGGCACGATAGCGAAGATCAATTCATCTCAATCTACAAAAAACATTACCTTGGGCACGCAACCCAAAAAGATAGAAAGACTGCTCGCTCGAAGAAAAGTCTTTTAGAGCAAGGTGGTACAAGCCAAGCCCCTTCGATTGGCAACAAGAGTCGATTATGGAAATAGTCTTTTGGTCGGCTTTCCCGTTCTTGAAGACTTTATGGCCGGTAGGCTTGATAGCGGACCTGCTTTGCTGACAGGGAGAATATGAAATAGATAGTTGCGCTTGCCTTCACTTGGAAACTCTACGCCCCCTATTCTAGTAAGGCATGCTCTCGAAACGTCATTTACTCGTTCTTGTCTCCGGCGATTAACCTATTTCAGAGCAGTCTGGTGATTAGCCTATCTCGCACTACTCGAAGCCTTCGTAAACTCATTGTTGGGTTCTTATCGTAGTGAAGATTGCTTGCTTCCAGTGATCGGGAAATAATAAATAAAAAAACCATTGCTTTATATTCAACACTCCCGATAGGCGGAAGGATCTATGTCCATCCCCAACTTCCTTTCAATCCACATCGGAAAATTTAGGCTTTCTCTACTGGGAGTCATCAAAGGAGGAATAGGCAGACGCCGGTTCGAAAAGCCAAGGAAAAACAACCACCGCTTGCTTTTGACACTCAAGCGACCCCCGTCCTGCCAAACATCGATGCAAAGGTTAGATTTCACCACCTCTATCTACCCAACTAGTCCTATTTGATCTCACAAACCCTACCTTGAAACGTCGATCTCCCCCAGAAAACCCTCTATCTCCAAGCCCCAAAACTAGGTTGGGCAAGCTTTTTTGCCCCTACTCCCAACAAGTTGCTGGTCGAGATCGTGGTTTTTGCATCAAAACGAGAAGTAAGTAAGCCGGTCCTTGTTTGGTCATAAGGATAATCGTTCTTATTAGGTCAGGGGCGGCCGGTCCGAGGGTTACCCGCGATTGGTAATGGCATAACCAGAAGAGGAGTAGGGGAGACAAGGTTACGCGCTGGGTAGCGCAGCGCATCCGTTTCGGGTACAGAGGCGACGAGGGGTGCTAACCCGGCCACCCAACCCAGCAGGTCAGGGGCGGGCCGGCCATCTATTGTTCTTTCTCAACCAGCAGTCTTTTAGATTTATTCTTTTCGTGCGTTCTTCTGATCTAGCCATAGTGACTCTCTGCTCTGGGAGTGAATGTTTATGCGGGGCTTAAGAATGAATGATTTACGCGCTCCTTCTTCATGGCACGGAGTGAGATGTCTATGTGCCCACCAGAACCTAAGTACGTGTCAATCAAGGCCTACTTGCCTAGATGTGAAAGGCCTTTTTTTTTTGCTATGATGCCATACCTGCTGTTACTTCACTCGGTCAATGGGGGGAAACCACCTGTATATCGCTTTGTTTGATGCTACTTAGACTTGAATCAACCAACCGGATCTGTTCGATCTCCTGCGGCGAGTGCTGCTTCTTTTACCTGTGCTTCCTACGCCTTTGCCTGTGGGTCAATTGCTCTTGGTTTTGGCACTATCAAAGAGGGGTATGGAAAGAGAATGCCCTAAGTCTAACTAACTAACGAGCCAGAAACAGTTTCTGAGAGTGCTAGACTTAGCAAGACTGCCCCTAGCATAATCGAAAATAATATAAACCTTGTTATGGGGCTGAATCTGTAAGGGATCGAAGTTCAAGCTAGGGATACTATTACTATATGGAATCTCGCAACTATTAGGACAAGGACATTTAGGAAGTCTGAATTGCACGAAAGGGCAAGGCCATTAACAAGGGCAAGAAAGGCGTAAGAGGTCCTAATTTACTAAACAACGGATATACGTATGTTTTAGAAGGGCGCCGGGAGCAATACTCCACCATGTACCAAATCCCAAAAAGCAGGCAAAAGATTAATACAAAGCAAAGCGTATATCTTTCACATAGGAGTAGGTAAGAGTTTCCGTGAGAGAAAAGGATTGAATGCTTCGTTCCTCTCCTTTCAGTCGAGCTACTTCGTTCCTTCGGTCGAACTCTCCCCCTCTCCTTTCAGTCGAGCATATTGATAACCTCTCCTTTCAGTCGAGCATATTGCTCTAACCTCTCCCTATCGGTCGAGTGACTTTCTTCCTCTCCTTTCAGTCGAGCTCGTTCCTCTCCCTACTTGTTTTAATTAAAATGCGAGTGACTTCGTTCCTTCGCCCGCTTTTCGGGCTCATAATATACCTTCGAAGAGCATATTTATTCCCTTTTTTACGATCCGGGGATCTTTTTAGACATGGGTCCATCCCATTCAAGAATAAAGAACTTGCGTTTCAACACTGCGCATAGCACCCCGAAATCGGGTTACTTTCATTCAGATAGATACATTATATACCTTAAAAACAAGGTCCATCTGGTCGTGAGTGAACGTTCAACCTTCGTTCACAGAAGAAGGAGACTAGTCAGGAAAGAAGGAATATGGTGTTGTGCTTCTTACCTATGATGATTCTAATTCCAGTCTTTTCATTGGTCAAATGAAGGAAAACTAGCCCCCACAAAGCAAGAGATACGGAGAAATTTTCTCCAACTAGTCTAAACTAAACTTCCCCGATCCGGATGTGGAATCCTCTGATATTAAAGTATAAAAAACTTCCTTGCCTGCCTTCCAGTCTTTGCAGTCTTCGAAGCTATCGATGCATTCCAACTGTCTGTTAGAGCGAGTGAATGGTCTTCAGATACGGAACTAGTAGACCCAGAAGATGTTGAGTCAGTTGGGTTCAATCGATTCTGTTGATTCTGCAGACGGTGACCCCTGCTGCGGTAGGACATACCGAAGTAATAGGAACAACCTAAACAAGAGGGGCTTATCGACTCGACTCCCCCTGCCTTATCAAGGACTTCCCAACTTACCCAGCGGAATAAAAGAAAAAAGGGCAAGGTTATGTAATAGGTCACTTCCATCAACAACTAAAGCTATTTCTTACTGGTGTGGATTCTCCACAAGTACGTCAAAGGATGGGATTGTTCCACAAACTCCAATCAGTAAACTACCATCCATGAGCGGATACCTTCGAGTTATCGGCCAACACGATGTAATTGAAAGGGAGCTCGTCCACTCTTTCATCCGCGGATGCTACTTTTCGTCCGGGAGGGAACCACTCAGATTGACTTCTATGGATGGGATTCATGTTCATTAGTTTTTCGTTTTCCGGGATCCATCTCCACCAACTATGATAAGGAAATGCCGTTGGTGAACTAGGTTCCCGATAGCTAACTTTCCCGCACCTGAAAGCAACTCCGCCAACCTGCCGATGAGAAGGGTTACTACAAGTGGTGTGATGAGATATGTATTTAAACTTGGTTGATCATCGAGAAAGATATCCAAAAGGCTAAAGGAAGAACCAGTCACTTTATGGATAAATAGGATAGGAAGATCTCGACGTAAAGCTGGCACAACTCCGTGAAACTCGGGTCAGATAGATGAACTATCACCACCCTTCGGTACTGGCTTCCTTGAAAGGTTGTCAGCAAAGCAGGTCCGCTATCAAGCCTACCGGCCATAAAGTCTTCAAGAACGGGAAAGCCGACCAAATGACTATTTCCATAATCGACTCTTGTTGCCAATCGAAGGGGCTTGGCTTGTACCACCTTGCTCTAAAAGACTTTTCTTCGAGCGAGCAGTCTTTCTATCTTTTTGGGTTGCGTGCCCAAGGTAATGTTTTTTGTAGATTGAGATGAATTGATCTTCGCTATCGTGCCTCTTCCTTGTACCATTAATGCTGCGGCAGTGCCTAATATGAGTTTGCTCCTGCCCCAGACAGCTTCGAGGTTCCCATCGATCGATTACAGAGGTTTCAACCACTGAACTTGCTTATGCTCCCCTTTGATCGAGTGCTATTTCTATAAAAAAGATTAAGTAGGAAAAACGTCGAATTAGGCGGTCTTGGTTTTCGAAGACTCGGACCGTTCAATGATGCTTTACTTACAAAGCAATGCTGGAGATTGGTGATGTCGCCCGATTCCTTGGTTGCCCAGGTCATGAGGAGCCGCTACTATCCTCGTGGAGATTTCTGGACTGCTCAGAGGGGATATAACCCCAGTTATGCATTAGGAGTATTTGGGGGGCTCGCTCGATACTTCGTGAGGGTGTCTTCTGGCGAGTTGGTGACGGCAGAACAATTCGGGTCTGGCATGATCATTGGATACCGGCTACTAATTCAGGTCTTGGTGGGATTCCATCGGGCCCGTTGGGTTTGGAGGCTCGTGTTGAAGAATTAATTGATAGAGACTTGGGGGAATGGCGGGCAGCACTGGTGCATTTTTTTTCTTTATCATGAACAAGCTACCAATATCCTAAACATACCTCTGAGTTGGAGGTTTCCTGAGGACAAGCTGATTTGGAGGTGGACGAGGTCAGGAGTGTACTCTGTGAAAAGTGGCTATCATATTGCATTGTCTATCTCCCGGAGACAAGATCCAACTTCATCGACAGATGAGGCTACGTCCCGGATATGAAGGAGGGTCTGGCAGCTATCTATTCCCCCAAAGGTGATCTTTTTTTTATGGGGATTTCTACATGATATACTCCCGTGTAATAGCAATTTGGTGCATCGAGGCCTGCAGGTTGATCCTTGCTGTTTGTTATGTGATGAGGCTGTGGAGACTGAAGTACATGCTCTTCGGGACTGTCAATGGCTGGGTGGCGGAAGCTATTTATAGTTGTTCGGGTTAGCATTCAAGGGCGATATGGGGGTATCGACAGGCGGTGTTTGCTATGAGCCCGGATAAGGCACCTGGCCCGGACGGCTATAACCCCGGATTTTTTCAACAATTCTGGCCGGGAGGAAGTATTTGATACGTGCAATAAGTGGATGGAAACGGGGGCTATGCCGACGGCTATCAACGAGACAAATGTAGTGCTGCTGCCTAAGAAGGAGACCCCATGCACTATGAAGGACTTGAGACCGATCTCCCTGTGTAATGTACTATATAGAATCATGGCGAAAGTTTTAGCTAACCTATAAGACCTCTGATGCCCAGGGTAATCTCAGTCGAACAATCAGCGTTCGTACAGGGACGATCTATTGTTGATAATGTGATGATTATCTTTGGTTTAGAAAGCAAAGAGGGGTTGGGAGAAGTGCGAATGGAGGCTGTTCCTGCCGATGAGTTAAGAGCTAACGAAAAGTGCCTAACCGAGCTTTTAAGGTCAGGTGGATCAGAAAGCTTATGCCCGTCCATCCATCCCTGGATCGGGCTTTACAGAGGCAAGCAAACAAAAGATGCCCATCTTTCTTGGGTTTCACAAAAGAATAAGATATCAAGTCCCACTTGAACCCCTTTTTCCTTATTCTAGTAAAACTCTCCCTGTAAAGTCGAGTCCTGCAACTCCTGGATCTAGCAGCTGACTCGTTAACAGCAGAGGTCTAGTCATCTTCGGCACCGTCACGCTCCAACGAAAGAGGAAGATAAAGCTGACTCGACTAACTAAAGAGGAAGCAGTGGGCTTGAGAATCCCCTTTTTGTATAAGGTTCCCTAAGACATGGAAGCTTTTTGTAACAGCCGGTCTGTAAACTAGACGACTTGCGCGAGGAGGAAAGCCGTTAATTCCAATTCCAGAATAAGTGCCAGCTATTGATCAAGGGTTGGCCGAGTTCGGGATTAGAACTAAAGGTAAGGTCGAGCTCATAAAGCATCCTTTATCCTATTGGCCAAGGGGAGTTGAAAAGTCTGTTTCAGGGCATAGTAAGTGAAGATCTGAGATTGCCGATCTAAAAGAGCGAAAGGCTTACTAGCAGGCTCAGGTTCCAGGTATAGGTATAAGAAAGCCAGTAGAGCTAAATAGAGGTATACTGTACTTCTATGCGTATTGAGCTGAGGTGCTAATGCTTCCCGCAGGGAGAAACTATCTTAGTCATACTTCCTTGATAGGTGAGACTTCCACGAAAGCACGGATAAGAAGAATCTTAGAAAGCAAGGACTGAGGAGCTTCGGTGTCTTCTTTGCTTTTATAGAATATCCTCCACTGCTGCTAAAGGCTTATTGGTAGTTTTTAGGCCAGTGAAACTGTCCCTGTAGCTAAAGTAAAGCCAGTTCATTCATTCATGGCAATCGGTCTAGTAAGGAAGAAGTGAGCTGTAGCCTTAATCTTAGTACGCGCACTATAAGGGGCTACCTAATGGGCCAGTGACAAGAAAAGTTTCTGTGCCGCGAAGGGCTACCCCTAGAAAATGGAAGGGCATGGAGAAGCGGATTCCTACTTCAATTCAAGCATTGGATCTCCTGTCTCATCTCAATTAAGAGGGGTCATGGAAAGAACAGGTTCAAAATCACGATCAATTCCTTCGCCCGCTTTTCGGGCTCATAATAAACCTTCGCCCTACGGGCTCATATATTCTAAACCTTCTGGGGGTGAGTCCTCTTTTGATCTTCTGACCGGTGCTATACGCGTCTTCCCCGAATGAATAGTAAAACAGCGCCTATTCACAATGTACCCGGAGCCTTTCATTCAATATCTGTAGTTTCAGTCTACCTTGATACATCTTCTTTTCCGAAAGGTTGCTTAAGGCCCTATGCTTCAGTCTCTATGCCTAAGTCTCTATAGGGGATATCTTCAACCCTATTCAAATGCTGGATGTGCTTTCAACACCTGGCAATCTTGTTCAATCAGGCGATTGATAACGAAGCTGTCGCTATTAGTTAGAGAAGCAGCTAGGAAGAGGAGGAAGCAATATGTCAGGTCAATCGCAGCATACTTCGGGGGAGTAAAGGAGCTGTGCTTTCAGTGTGAGCAGCTGGACGGAGAAAGCAAGTATTCATAGGCCAAGAGAGAGGGTACACATCATCCTCAACGGAGTCAGGCCTGAACACGACAATGTGCGTGCTTTGCTTCAATTCAAGCACGTGACGTTCCAGCATCTCTGTCGCTCGTTTTTCAATATGTAGTAGAATGAGGCCGAATCTTTGACGGTAGCTGAGATGGTGCTCAATGGCGAGTGGAATGTGAGTTATATCAGCGCCTTTTTACCAACACCTCTTCTTTTCGCAGGTTCTTCTCCATGCTGTTCCCCAGGAGATGGAGACAGACGTCCGAATCTGGAGATTCTCGCCATCCGGGCAGTTCACCCTAAAGACGGCCTATGATCTCACGGCGAGGGAGGATGATACAGGTACCGCTTCGCACCCGGTGTGGCGCGCCATTTGGAAGGCCCCTGTTGCTAGACGAATCCAAGCCTTCTTATGGCTAGCTACTCAGCAACGCTTATTGACAAACCATGAGCGGCAGCGGCGGCACCTGACACCCACGGCGACATGCCCCATTTGTGGAGGAGGACCCGAGAACAATGCTGCATGTCCTTCGGGACTGTCCCTATGCTCGAGCAGTGTGGGCAGTATTCCTTGATGAGGAAACAGACTCGACATTTATCCAGGAAGAAAGACCCGACCAGGTGGATCTTACACTATGTGACGGGCCGTAGCTGCTCGATTGACATTCCCTTGTTTGCAGGTACGAGTTGGTTACTGTGGAAGAACCAGAATGAATACCAGTTTGAGGGCAAGCTAGAAAATGAGGTGCAGCTTCAAATCCGCACCAAACAACTAAGGCAACAAACCTTACCAAACAACTAAGGCAACAAACCTTGGTAGCTTTTGAGTTGAGAAGGTGAGCAATTTATTTGGAGCAGGGAGAACAAGCGAAAGGCTAAAATTCGATGGACACGGCAAGGTTGGACGAACCTGAACACGGATGGGTCTGTTGTGCATGCACCTTCGAGTACGGCAGCAGGAGGTGTACTGAGGGGTGACGATGGTCGTTTTATTCGAGCCTTCTCAGTGAACCTTGGGGGTCGATCCATTATACGTGCAGAGCTCGCTGGGGTTGCCCATGGCCTCAAGATTGCCTGGGAGATGGGGATCAGAAAGGTTGTTCTGCAGCGTAATAGATGAAGCTCGCAAAACACCATTCAGTTGATACAGGAAGCGACGCCGAGCAATCCACACTTTACGTTAGTCGCTGAGATCTGTCCTCTATTGGAGTTAGATTGGAAGGTTCACATTCAGCATGTTTTCAGAGAGGCTCATTTTCTTGCTGATTACTTAGCGTCTTTGGGCCACTCTTTGTCGATTGGCGAACACATTTGAAATTCTCCGTGCTACTCTTTGAGTTACAGGTTGTATTTTGATCAGTTAGGGGTAGCTATAGCACATCCTTTCCTTAGTAGGGTTTATCCCTATACATAATACCGATTCTGCCTTGTGATACTGATCAACGCATAGCAGGGTGCTAGCCAGAGCATGCATCAAAAGCTCTTTCTCGAGATTCAGTATATGGTATATCCTGATCTATCTTCTGTTAGGTTCTTATTAGTAGGAGTAGGAAAAACGAGTACCATCTTCTCTTTCTTACTATCAATAGATCTTATTTGAAATATCTTTCTTATATAAGATAAAAGATAGAGATATGTTGAAAAAGCGGGAGTGAGTGCATCACGGGTGTGATGCATGAACGGAAGGAGCGAGAGTGAGTGCAAGAAAGAAGAGGAGAGAAAACCACTCGACTGAAAGAAGAGGAGAGATATGAGGCTTATTAGGCTATGAGGCTTAGGGCGTGTATGAGGCTTATTAGGCTATGAGGCTTAGGGCGTGTATGAGGCTTATTAGGCGGATATGAGGCTTAGGCTATGAGGTGGGGGCTAAGAACAGAAATTAAATCATTCAAACTACCGGCACACGAGCACCAAAGATGGGGTAGGCCCCATAAGAAACCCCACCCCTCTCTGTCTTCGTTTGTAGAGTCATCTTCCCTCCCATACTTGAATAAGTACCTATAAAACCTTTAAGTAGAGTGAGTTTACGCAACTTCAACTTATCTTTCTGATTGACTGCTGTTTCCATGCTTGTTTTTGAGACCGGGGCTGCTATTCTTATATTTGATATTCGAGTTACCCTGTGCGCTAGTTGACTATCCAATATTGGCCGACCGACGGATGGGCTCCCTTAAGGGCGGAGCTCACCAACTGGGTGGCGTGGAAGGGGGATATTTAGCTATGTGCGGGTAGAGCTGCTCCTGCTCAGTTGCCACTGGATATCCACATTTATCCCCGTCAGCTGCTGTTCATTCCTCCCCCCATCGGTTGAGTGTTTTCATTCCCCCGGGCATTAGATTGCTGCTTAGCGTGAAGTATAGGTTATGCGTTATGTGGCAGAATCAGAATTGTCGTATGTATAGTGAAATGGATGTTGACTCGAGTGGGCTGCCCCTAGTTGTTCTTTCTCT